AATAACAAGATCTTGGATAATATTTCTATTTTGAAAACCTTACTTAAAGACACCACTTTTCGTAAAATATCACTTACTATACAATACATTCAGTATCTAGAGGCCCCCAATTTTTTTCTTCCTTTTCAGCCCCTTCATATTGTACATTCTTGCCAGTTCATTTGACATGGTTTCTTTCATCAAGCGGTCAACAGTTTCCCACACATCTGCCCCACCAAACATTGAGAGGAACCGCACCTTAAATAAAGCAGAACATAAACTTTTTTTAATGTTAATTTTAACACTACTAAGTTTCAAAATTATATAATGTGCATTTGTGATGGGCTGCAAGTCACCAAATGACAAATAATTGTCAACTGGACCTCAAAAACATGATCTGCCAAGAAAACTGTTAGGATTGACAATTAAAAGTGAAAATGATAAGAAATCATGAATTAAAGTTAACATATTTTTGAGTTAGGGATGTCATTTGGTGAAAATAACATTTTTGGCTATTCCAGGGACCATATTAGCTTGAGTAATTAATCCTTTTCTTTTTATACAAAAAAAACAAATATCTTTTTTAAAGTCTGTTGTTTTATTGTTGCATTGATTTAATGAGTGTTTGGCAAAATGTACATTTCATTGGTTTTGACTGTCATTTAAATCAACTCACTGTGACAGTAGATCTTGATGTGGTTTGCAAGGATGTTTGGTTATTAAATACATTGACAATGACATCTGTTACTTGGATGTAATTTCCCGGTCTGGTTTCTACTGCAGCCAGTTCCCTCCATAATGTAATTTTGGCTTTTTGAGTGTCATCTTCTATCATGATAGATTTTATCTGCACCTCTTCTTCTCTAACTTTAACCATTCTGATCTTCTCCTAGAAAGTATTTTTAAAGAAATTACATTATTGCTTTATTGTTGTATATTTTGAAGTATATATTGTAGCACTAATACAAGATATAGAATATATATATGTGCCACAGTATGTGAGATTTATTTCGTCTATTTTTCTTCCCTATTAAATCTACTTGAAAATGACAAAAAAAGATGTTTCATAATATAATTTATAAGAAAACAAGGTGTATGGAAGGACAATATTGCAGACAATAAAGACACATTATTTTTTCAATTATCATTAAAAACACACAAACCTTTAAAGGAGGTTTTTTTTCTTCTCTTTTTTTAATATAAAGCAACATAAACTTTGAAACAATAGTGTGACAAAGTATGAGAGCTAATTTGTCCACAGTGACACTGACCTTTGAGTGAGTGACATGTTTTTGTTTTGTATAAAAGATGTCTCAGATGATCATTTGTGCAAATTTATTTCAAAATAACCTTCATCCACAATACAAGCCGGACATGAACATGTACTTTTACTGTATCCATAAATAGAATACACACAACTTGTTTACTGTGACCTTGAACTTAACTAAATGACATGATTTAATGTGCGACTCATATTCTGGGTTAACACTATAATTATGCCCTTTTGACATTAACATGGCAAGGGCATAAAAAGGAAATGAGATGGTTTTGATAGTGCTTAAACCATGATGATCCCAAGATGCTCACAAGAGTACTATAAGTAATCTTATTAGAAATTAAGAGACATGCTATAATATGGGCATAAACAAGAAATATCATTTAAGGCAAATACTGCTCCTGAAAGCTGCACATTTGTCAATGAACTCCAGTGTGTAAAAGGAAAAAAAGAAAAGAAAAAAGTCTGGACATCACATATTCAAGAACATCCAAGTTATCTATCTACCTACAAATCATAACAAATATCAGTGAATAAATCTTATATTTATGTTTTGTAATTTATATTTATTTTTATTTCTTCAATATTGTTGTTGTTATTGTCTGGATAAGAGTATGATAGACAGACCAACAAGGCGGCAACTTTATGCTCCTTCCACTCCTTGGGTAGCATAAAAAGTTGATCAGATTTTTTCTTTTGTACAAAAATAAAAAATAAATATATAAGATAACATAGAGTAACAGTAAAGTTATTGCAAAAGCTTACATAAATGTTTCATGCCAAGGAACTTAAAGCTTTTAGTCCATAGAATGATTTTTTCCTTAACAACCCTGTAGAAGGACCATACAATGCTGATTGTTATAAAATAATGGTGTAAACAGTAAATGGACAAACACTGTGCTTGGGTAAACTAATATTACATAGGGAGAAGTAAAAAGGTCCTGGGCATTACAACTCTATGTGCAGCTCCTCTGCCTTGTTCATCAGGAGGGACTTTACCTTTATTGTAGACTGACATACCCATTTTTGGAATCGGCAAGAGTCCAAACTTTTATTCCCCATTTATGGGCTTACTAGGGATGTACTGCATAAATTTTATTCTCCCCTTTAAAGGCACAAAAGTTTCATCAACACTGATTTCTTTATTAGGTGAATATGCTGTCTGCCACCTTTCAATCAACATTGAAGAAATTTCACTTATTTTGTATCCTGGATCATTATTTGGACTGTCACGTGCTGGTTCACGCCTGCTGTCAGATGCATGTAGGAATGACAAAATATTTAAAATATCTCAAGTTATATAAGAAGTCAGTTCTTTCAAATTTATTAAGTCATTTTTACTCCAGTACATATCATAGCTAGGCATTCTCACCAATCTCATATACAATACCAATGCAATAATCACTTTCATTTCCGGGACTGACACTTCTGACCAGGATCTAGCACGACCATAGCGCGGTAAAGCATTAATGCCACCTTTTGCCTCAAGGTACCTATTTAAATTAAGCTTTTTTAAATCCACTTAAAACTTGGAATAACCCATTTTTTATTTTTTTCATTTTCCTAAAAAGGAATAAGTAATTGTTTGGGGGGAAATTTTTTCCCCCCCCACCCGGAGGTTGTTTAGATTCAAATCGAAAATTTTAGCTGCTTGATAAGGTCCAGAATTAAAATCAAAATTTTTCAACCATTCAGAATCATAGGCTTCGTGGAATAAATCTCTTTCCTTGCGATTAATTTCTTGTTCAATCTCTAAAAGTTCCTCCCATTCATCGGCGTTTAAATCCTCTAAATCAAACCCATCAAAGCTTTCATTGTCGCTCCCCTGCATAACAATGTCCATAAATTCGTTCTCAGCCATTGTTCAAAGTTAATTACCAATTAATCGTCTAAAAACTTCAAAAAAATGCAAAATTTACGATGAAAAACTTGAAAACAGAAGTAGGAAATGCTTATCGATTAACCCGGATTTAAACCACATGCGTTATGAGAGGGAGGCAAATTATTCAGGTTAAAAATAGTGGCTGAAGTTTCCCAGCTATTTGGGGCGGAATATGTCGCCAGCTGTGGCAGATTACAGAAATTCCATGGCGGATATAACCGCCGCTAGCTTGCAAAGAGTTAAAAACAAGAGGGCCATAATGGCCCTGAATCGCTCATCTGGTGAGTAGTTTCCTAACAATCGTTAGTGGAGAGTTACACCAGTACTAGGACTACCTTCCTCCGCACTAAACTACCAAAGCATCTCCTGGGATCGAACCCATGCCAGAGAGGTAACTGGATTAGAAGTCATCCACTCTAACCCCTCGACCACGGAGGCAGTTTATTATTACATATGTCTAATAAAGGAGAATTCATGTACCAGTAATATAACAAGGACAAAATTGTTTACAGATTATAAAGGGATCTACTTTTATGGATGCTGGACAGCCTGCAATGTTTCTTAATAAATCAGTTTCATCAATGGGAAAGAATGACATTTTTAACACAATGTCATTGTGTTCTTTATATGCCACATATATCTTATCTGACATCAACGAGTCATTTTCTATTTCATCATTGTTATGCAATAAATCATTATCTGCAGTGAATTCTGCCAATACTTGCTCAAAAACAATGAAATTCTTTGTTTGTTGCTCATTCTCTTATTGCAATTACAGTGTTTTCGATGAGTTGGCTCTGCCTCTTTTCTGTTTAGCACTGCAATGCTCACACTTGAAAATTAAATCTTGGCATTTCACATTATGGACCTGCTTTGAACACCTGATACATTTAATTGATGCTTTAATTGAACAACAAATAACACTGCCAATGAATTCTTGAAGAGCAACTTCTTTCTTTTCCTTCACATTGGACAATGGTGTGATAGACCAGTTGAGTTCAACTGCATTTCACCCTGAAACAATGTCAAGTTCAAATTAGCTCTGTAATTAACTTTATGTTGAAGCAAAATTATGCACCTAAACAAATGACAAATTTTTTATTTATACAGAAAAGTCCTTAATTTTAAAGTTATGACATATTGGGATGATCTTGCAAGTAAGAAAAACATGTACTTCTGTGTTATATTTTCTTAAAAGAAAATGTGCCCCTCATCCAATCTTTAGTGACGGATGAGGGACATTATTGGAGTAAAGCCGGAGGCTGAGCATGTATAACAATAGCATGTCTGTCAGACACTCTACTCACTAGTCGCGTATTTAAAGGACCGTAAAAAAGTAGTCCGCGTCGCTATATAAACCGTGTAAACCCCGTCTTATCATATTTCAAAGCAAAAAGTTTTGTTGCCGGACAAAAACACAAGGGAGGGTAAAAACAATATTTTATCCAAAGAAAAAATTCTTTTCAAAGCAAATATAGAGGTGGGTTCATACATGCTCAGCCTCCGGCTTTACTCCAATAATGTCCCTCATCCATCACTAAAGATTGGATGAGGGGCACATTATTTTCCGTAAAGCCTTCGGCTTTCGCATGTATAACAATAGCATATTCAAAGTGACGGCAACAAAATTCTTATAAAGATAACAACAACATACTAATCAGAACAACCAGTATATTTGAACCCACTCAAGAGGAAAAACCTCTAGTACAACAGAAAATGAAAATTTTTCAATAAACAACATATACCCTCTAAAGTAAAGTCACTTTCTAGAAAAAATTGCCTTGACAAAAGGAACATCCTCATTATTAAGTGATTGTCTACAATAAAATTTATAGAAATTACAATCTGATTTCCAATCAGCAGTCTTTAAGATAGATTTCACTGAGCATTTACCACTGTAAGCTGCTGAAACTGCTGCTGATCGGAAAGAATGCGCTTTAAATAAAGTGATATCAATACCAGAAAAATATAACACACTTTTTAACCATCTGGCTACAGTACTTGATGTTATTGCTTTATGCGTGACAAAAGAAACAAGCAACTGCCTGGATTGCCGCACGTTCTTAGTAATATTCATATAATGAAGCAAAGTATGATAAACACACAAACTTTCTGTTTCAAAATGTTCTACCTTCAAACAAAAATTGTTTCCTTTTCCAACTGTTGAAGTTTTAAGTAAACCAGGAAAATAAAACACTGCATATTTATCTTTTCTAAACACTTTCATATAATCTAAATTCAAAGAGATAAGCGTCTGTGCTCTTGTGGCACAAGCAAGAGCTATCAAAGCTGTTAACTTTAAAGTTAACTTTTTAATACACAAAGAATCCAGTGGATACCAAGAAGACAATAAATTTAAAACTTTGCCCACATCCCAAGTAAACTTGTATCTAGGTACACTAGGTTTCACATTAAAAATTCCTCTCATGAAACGACTAATAAGTCTAGGAGATCTGCACCATTTAATTCCAATGATATTAAGAGTTTGTAATAAAGTTGATTTATGAGTGTTCAACACGGAATAGGATTTTCCACATAAATGTAAAGAATATAAATATGACATTACCTCTATTTCAGTGGGCTTAATGGGATTTTTGGAAGGAAATTTTTTAAAAAAAAAATTTCCTTTCTATAGTATCGGTCTGCCTATATCAAAAAAGAACGAACAACACCTAATTGCATTCTGTTTAAGCTCAATAGAAAATAAGTAGTTAATGCGACCAAGAAAGTAGTGCAGCAGAACTATATGTAATACTTTCAAACGTGGATGACTTGAAGAAAAAGCTGATGTTCAAAAAAACTTGAAATGATGATATTCAATGTTAGCTAACATCAATGGAACATAATCTCAAACGTGTACGAAAAAAAAACATCAGTATTATTACGCATTAGGCCAAAGAAAAGTTTGTGTCCATGTACCTATGTACAATAAATTGAATATAAATAAGGTGTAATTTTGTAGCAGATATGCTGAAAAATTCACATGTAAGTCAGCCGAAGGGAAAATGAAAAGTATTTATTGTATATATTTAGCAATTTATTGAATAGCATTTTTATGCCCCCGCTGATTTTTTTTACGTCAATAACTCAAGAGGAAACAATGGATACAATATGTGGCCTTAAAAAAAGCGTACTATTTTCGCAAAAAAAATGGTTCGCAAACTTTCATAGAATCAAAGCGTTTGAAACAAAAATATTATTATATAAATAATAAAAAACACAAGATAACAATACAAGTCTTTCAAGGTATTCTGGAAATTTAACGGATGCAATTTGGTAAAACTTGGTTTTGACTAGTAGGGCACAATCGCCATTGTTCGGACCATCGACAGAATAACGTTCGTGTTTTTCAGATTGCTCCATCCAAGACATAGATTTGCTGATGAATAACATCGCAAAGGTTTGTGGAAATGCTTTTATTTCTTTGTTCAAAATCGTTTTGTGTTTGCAGATGTTAATTTGTTAGACAAACGAAATTAGGTCAAGGATTGTTTACATTATTGAATTTACAGGTAAACTCGGCCCTATACCAACTCGGGACAGGTCAACTCGGTCCTCTATTAAAACCATATAGCCTATTAGGATATAGATTGTTTAGATTGTTTAGTTAATAAAATATTGTTTGAAATTATCTTTAAGATAAATAATTATCTTAAGAAGAGATATCAAGACAATATATGTTAAATATTAATCAATACTGTAAATAGAGTTTTTAGATTGAATTTTTGTGACAATGAATTTTATTGTATTTAATACTGTTTGTTTTTTAATATGGCAAATGCTTGTTGAACGATATTTTTTACAAAAAAATCTGGAGTAGCATAAAATGCGTTTAAATTGTAAATTCTTTCTTTCTCTACAATTTCACATACTTTTCAATATCCTTGAGTAGATGTCTGTTAGTGTGAAAATGTTAAACCATGACAGTTATGATGAAAACATATCAAAAGTAAGAAAAGTAATCATTATCAGTAATTATGTAATTATGGGCCGAGTTGACCCGTGCTGAGTTGGAATAGGGCCGAGCTGTCTCGAGGGCCAAATACGTTTAAGGGCCAATCTGACCCTGATTCGAATTTACAGTGTTGACTGTTGTGAAGGATTTGCTTTTTTTCATTTCTATTGTATATAGACTATCTATTAACATAGAAATAAGTTTATAATATGTTATATTCAACTGTTGTGTACAATTGATATTCGATAACTGTATAAATATTTATCATGGCCCTCTTGATTTTTTATTTGGCGAGGTCCGAGGACAGGCAGCCTTTCGCACAGACTGCAATTTGCAGTTGGTATAGTAATTTTTAGTGTTTGATGATCAGAAGATTTTTTCCTTCTGAAAATCATGGACTTGAATAATTCAAATCTGTGTGAAAGCACAAAGAGAAAGAGACTGAAAATTAATTTTATTATTTCTATGGACAATATTGATGTAATAAATTTGTAATAAAACATGTGGGTCAATTTCCAGCAATAATTGAATCATGACACAAGTATTTTTAATAATTTTATTTAACTTGTGGCTACTTGAAAATTTCATGCTGGATGTTTGCTTACCATTACATTTTGCATAAGACTCACTCTGCTCTATGATTGACATTAAAGTCCACAGGCCAATTCATTTCTGATATATCTATAATCTTTCCGATATCTTGTTATAATATAAATGACTGAACATCATTGTAGAATTATAAGGAAAAAATATATAATATATGTTCATTCTTTGTTAAAAAATGTTAGAAGACTTGCAAGTTACCGACTTTATCATTGCATTTATTTATTATTGAAAAAAATGCTGAACAGCTAGTCTCAACAGTGTTTATAGGCTAGAATTTTCAGTTTGCATTAGGGCCAAAATTATTAAATATATTGTTAGTCATGACGGCTTTCCCATTGCTGTCATCAAACTTTAACCTTGTTCATAACTTTTTCAGATCTTGGTGTATTGTCTTCATACTTGGCCACAACAACCCTTCAAATAGACCAGACTAAACTAAATTAAACTTGACCACCATATTAACATTCAAGGTAAATGTCTAAATTTTCTTGATTTTTGCTATTAGTGGCTATAATTTGTTATTTTTGAATGGATTGTCTTCAAACTTGAACAACAATCTTTCAGGATAGGACCTGACTCACTCATGATGTCCTTGAAGCTTTTGTGATCAGAAGTTGTACAGAATAATACAAACCCAGAGCAATTTCATTTACTTTTTTTTTGCAACTTCTGAGAAAATGGATTTTAAAGATAGTTGTTTTCTTGAAATTTCAGCACAGTATAGTAGATAGTAAAGACATTTAATACATACTGTATATACACTATAATTACTATAGTAATACTATAAAAATCTTTATGCTTGGACAATTTGAAACAAATTGTTTCTTAAACAGTGTAAGAAATTAGGATTTGAATCGACTAGGCTGGTCAGACTACTAGATCGGAATATTCACTTGTCCAAAAGACATTTCACTAGCACGATTCATTTGTTCAAAACAGTTGTTTATATTGCCTCTGAAAATACAGTAGCCTGGTCGGGCTTGTTTTACTGTGAAAAGTTGATAGCCCGAGGAGAAATTTAGTAGTCGGACTCTCAGACTACTGCTAATTTCGAACACTGCTTAAATTATTGATTTGATATTAACTAACATAATTATTGGCATACTATATGTATATCTAATAATGATTATATTTTAATGTTTCAGAAGTTCGGCCTACATGTCAGATTTATGAATGTGAACAGCAGGATATCGATTTTAAGGATGCTTTAGGGTCAATGACAATGAAATCACGAGTGATAAAGGCTAAAATGTGAGACTGTCAATCTGACTAACCTTGAAGTGAACAAATGGAAAAATGTCTCTTTCAATAGCATGGGCTTTTAAGGAAGAGGTACATGATTATTTAGAAGTATTTGTATATGATATTTCTTAATTATTATATTTCTGATAGCTTTTTTTTTTCTAGACTTGTTTAAAGGCTGACACAGGACAGTTTATTTTAAGTCAGTGAG